AACATCATATTTTTGAAGCAGTATCCAAACTTACTCAGTTCAGCACAATCTCAGCACAGTTGCCTTCATCATTACCCGTCACAGAAAATACCCCAACAGCGTCTTCTATCTTGAATGACTTAACAAATATGATATCAATTAGTCCTACGACCATTCAACCGCCGACAACGGTACCACTGTGCCTGGAAGTGAGTTTCAAGTCGCCGTATCGTGCACCTGTCCTTGAAAGCACAATAACAGCTGAAACAACAGTGTCACGATCCGATAGCACTCTTCAAAATCAGGATCAGAATTCTAGTTTTAATCTAACACAGTCTCAACAACCTACATTGACACGAACCAGTCATACTGATACAACAGTTAGTATATTAAGTAGTGATTTTTCTCTGTTTCAACAAACACCATTAACGACAATTAGCACTGAGACATCTGCGAAACAATCAACTGGAAACCGTCTCTGTCAAAGTTTAACTAAATTAAAATCATTATCTAAAAAGAAGATTACTATGGATAATGAGGATGCCATAACAAGTCAGATAACCGAATTATCAAAGTTAACGTATAATGATCGGATGAAAAAAATTGAAGAACCTGATCAACGCTCATTTAAAGATATTTTAGAAGTCAACGCATGCATTTTAAATCCAACTACAGTAAGTATTCTTCGGCGATGTAACATCACCGTTATCATGAGATTGCGCAGTGGAAAAATTAAAGTAGGTCAATGACCTGCTGAGCGACCCATCTAAATGGATCCGTTTTACCTACTGAGACGATTTTACTCACTGGTGATCCACTTTATTTTTTACATCGCGATGTATAAATATTACGCGAGGTACTTTTTCTTCGACTATTCCAGTTTCAGTACATTAATGCTTTGATTAAGGGTTAGCTGGTTCTTTTCTGGCGTTGCACCTATCATCAGTCACTAACAACGTAGAGGCTCCTTCTCTCACAACAGAACGCTTATCAATATATTTATTGGTATGGTACTCATGTTTTTGTACGAACTTCAAAGCAGTAACAGAACTTTAAGCCTCACAAATCTATAACATCAGATTTCTCTTTCCAACTGACGATTTTAATTTAGATTCGATTTGATTGTATTACGAAAACGATGGTAGAAGTTTGTGTTCTGGAAAAAAAAATGCGAAAATTACTTGACAATCTTGGCACTATTCTTATGGTTCAACCAAGAGATGTAAGTTGTTTAAAACGCTCTATTATAAGTGGAAAAGTAGCTGCACTATGCGAATGGATAAGTAAATATTCATGCGAAGGCAAGTTCTTAATATTTTGTGATCTTCCTTATTTCAAAGGTTTTATCGATGGATTGTGAGATACTTACGAAACTTGCTTCAATGTTTATTGAGAAACCATTCATTATAAAAGTACGTGCAGTTTTTCGTATACTTAACTCACTTTAACAGAAGTTTTAATTGTTTTAGGTGAAAAAATTATCGCCACCTGATTCTAATGCTCCAATTATTATTATACCTGAAACTGGACCGACAGCTGCGTTTGGAACGTTATATGTTCAAAGAGTAAAAGTTTTCAATATTGGGCGTGCGGATCATGGTTTACAAGTATTAATTGCTTTATATCTTTGTATGCATGTCTGTTACAATATTGAAAATGATAACATGTTCTTAAATACTATGTCATTTATAACCAATGTGATGTTTACAGAAGATTATAAACCAGATGGAATATTATCACAAGCCGTTCTCGGATTATAATTAGTAAAGATGTCTGTAACTGAACAGACCAACTTCTTTTTGTTTTCAGAATGATCACCATTTCTGCAGTTAAAAGACTAAAGCTTTGTATGATTTTAACTAGTTACCAACAAACGTCTTGTAACTACTTTGACATTCACTTTTTTTCAACCATACATGTTTTTATTATTCTCTTGCTAATCCTTTTGATCACGTTTGTTCTAGACTTAACTAATTGTCTATTCATTTATTTTCGTATGTTGTGTTTGTATATTTTGTGTCAAAGTGCATATTAATGAAGCTATTCAGTAAATCAAGTGCTTATATTCTAACAAGTCAAAACTGAGTGCTCATAAATCATGGTTTTTTCATTCCTAAATGAAAGTTTTTTTCTCACAACATCTTTCAATACTTTAATTTTCATTTGTTCTGTACTTTTTGTTGATTTTTTTGCATGATATACTTTGTTTAAATTCACAGTGATTGATGTTGCAAGCTGATTTGTGGATGTAGCTTTCTAACTGATTTATCATAGTTCTTTTATCACGATAATTGCTTTTCGTTGATTATTTTATAACAGTAATTGTTTTTGAAGGATTATCTTTAATCACGTAGTTTTTTTCTGTTTTACCTCATTGGTTTATTTCAAGAATTTAGATACAATTGTTCTTATTTTGTGTCCTGATTTTTGCATGTTGTTTCTTATGTTAATAATTGAATCTGTAACACTTATAGCTTAAATAACGCCTGGTACCATAATAAAAATACTACACATGTTTTTTTAAAGTACCTCTTTTTAATAATGTTCTTTATGATTTGAATATATAGTTGACTTTTTAGCATTATCTGTAATCTGTATTTGTGTTAGTTTGTTCAGATGTCATCACGTAAATATCCATGTAGCTGCTGTTCTTTCAAAGCAGCAACTCTCACTCAGTTTGTCAAACATGTTAGTGATGTGCACAGTACAGATGGAAGAGTCATTCTAATTTGTCCAGTTTGTTCTGCAGTAAAAACTAATATCCTTACTTTTCGTAATCATATTGCACTTAATCATTCACAGAAAACATTAAACACTGATAGTAGTACTCAAACGTTGATAACAACCACAGCTGCTATTCTTTCATTACCTCTACCACTATATGACGATACTGATAACGAGGAAGATATTACATTATTTGATACTTCTGACCCTAGTGAAGACGAGCAAGAAGAAATGGAGAAGGAGCAGGTAAAATTGGGTTGTGTATAGATCTCGTTCACAGCATAATGTATGCATTTTGTTATTTATAGGAATATTCACCCTACAATGCGATGTCTCCTGATTCTGACAACGATTATGATATTTCGATGAATGAACAACAAAATAAGATTAACCGATTAAAAATTTTAACCGTTTTCATGCTGCTTACATTACAAGAAGTTTTTTTTGTGTCCGAAGCTGCTGTAAATTACATTGTCACAACCTTGTACAATATAATTGATTCATGTGATGTCAGTTAATGTTTGATTTTCTCAGTCTTGGTCAATACCGTGTTTTTTAACTGTAGGGTCTAACTGTATCAGAATTAAGATTATCGCTCACAACATCTCAGACAAAATACAACAGAATGAAACGGGCTGAATATCATTTTGGATACAAAGAACCTATAAAAGCAATATCAAAAGCAAGTTGAAAACAAAGTATTAATGTTATATGTTAGAATACATAGTAATGTTTACCACATTTTATTTCAGAGTCGTAACAGAAGAAATGTGGAATTGGTGCACAAATACGCTGTGATTCCATTTAAATCTAGTTTACAACATTTCCTATGTTTACCTGAAGTACAAAATGATTTAGCGACAACATGGGAACCCTATGATTCAAAGGCCATACTAGATATATATCATGGAGATTTTATTCGCTTAAATCCGTTGTACAATAACAATCAAAATATTATTCATCTTGAATTAACGAGTGATGATTTACAGATATCAAACCCGGTAGGAAACAGACACCATAAGATGTAAGCGCTTACCCGAACAGGTCTAACTGTTTAATTGATATTTACATTATGTTATTTATAGGTTTTTTTTCTACTGGTCTATGTTAAATCTTCAGCGCGCTCATCGTTCCTGTTTACCGGCTAAACGTTTAATATGTGCCTCTCCAAGAAGTTTGGTTGGTGCCGGTTTACTTGGTGATGCTTTAAAATCTTTTTTGAAGGATTTGGAAGATTTATCCACGAATGGGTAAGTAGTACGTGTTATCTTTCGCAATCAATATTTAAAAACGCAAAAGGATTGAACGTTGGCCAAATCTTTTCAATCAGCTCAAAGCTAAATATGATCCTATTTCTTAAGTTGTTTTAGCCAAAAATGTGAAATCTTAACCTATACTTGCGTTGACAACTATCTACTATCCATACCAAAATACAGTGCCGGGTGCCACTTTTTGAATAACTTCTGATAGAAATGAGATACAGACCTACGGTTTTCG